GGCCGGGAGGGGGGGTTCCCCTCATTAAAATGTGCCTGCCAGGCTTCCGTACATTCCATCAGCCGAGGGCTCAGGGTAGGGGCGGGGGGTGGCAGCGATTACTAAGGAAAGTCTTTGTCCGAGGGAGGCCACTGTTCCTCAGATAGCCGAATGTGAGTCCCTCCTTGTGAAGTGGGGTTGTGGGGTGCAGATGGGCTTGCTGATTGCGTACCTGGCTCCCTGCCACTTTCGAGCGGCTACCCTCTGCCGCAGGGAGACGGAACCGACTAGGTGGTTCCGTCCCAGGTGCCTGATGGATCCGGATAGGTTCCTGACGGAGCTTGGGCCATTCCTTGAGGCTCTGACTCACAACTCAACTGAAGAACTGGTGGCCCCTGGGATAGGGCGGCCACTGGAGCTTTGGACCGTGTCATGCCTTTGTGGCCTCTGACCCAGTGCCGATCTCAATTGGCTCCCTGGTTTTCCGAGGACCTGAGGGAGATGAAGCGCTGGAAAAGATGCCTGAAGAGCGACTGGAGGGCCAGCCGCTCCGAATCTGACTGAACACTGGTGAGGTCTCATATTAAGCTCTATCTAGTGGCGATAAGAGCGGCAAAATCTAATTATTTTTCTGCTCTTATTGCATCTGCAGAGAACTGCCCAGCAGCCCTATTTAGGATGACCCGCTCCCTTCTTCATTTGGGAGTGAGGGAAGACCCCTTGCAGGGTAGGGCTGAGAATTTTGTTCAATTCCTGCATGACAAAGTCACTCAGATTCGGGAAGGCCTGGACTCCGATTGGGTAGATTCAGATGGAGTGACGGAGGTGGGTCTTGAGAGTGTTATCTGGAAGGGGTTTGACCTTGTGACTCCCAAGGACGTGGACAGGATTCTGGGAAGGCTTAGCGCTGCCACATGTTTATTGGACCCGTGTTCCTCCTGGTTGGTGCTGGCCTCCCAGCGGTCACACGAGGCTGGCTCCAGGGGATTATTAATGCTTCCTTGAGTGAGGGTTTCTTCCCTCCCCTCCTGAAAGAGGCAGTGGTGAGGCCCCTCCTCAAGAAGCCTTCCCTGGACCTGGCTGTATTAGCAAACTATTGTCCAGTCTCCAACCTTCGCTTCGTGGCGAAGGTTGTTGAGAGTGTGGTGGTGCAACAACTTCCCCAGTACCTGGATGAAGCTGTCTATCTAGACCCGTACCAGTCGGGCTTCAGGCCGGGGTACAGCACGGAAACGGCATTGGTCGCATTGGTTGATGATCTCTGGAGGGCTCAGGACAGGGGCTGTTCCTCTGTCCTGGTCCTATTAGACCTCTCAGCGGCTTTTGATACCATCGACCATGGTATCATGCTGCGCCGATTGGAGGGGTTGGGATTGGGGGGCACCGTGCTGCGGTGGTTCTCCCCCTTCCTCTCTGACCATACGCAGTTTTTTGGCAGGGGGACAGAGGTCAACCTCGAGGCGCCTTGTTTGTGGGGTGCCACAAGGGTCGGTCCTCTCGCCCATTCTGTTCAACATTTATGTGAAGCCGCTGGGTGAGATCATCCGTGGTTCCGGGGTGAAGTTCCATCAGTACACTGATGATACTCAGCTGTACATCTCTACCCTGGACTACCCCAATGATGCCCTTGATGTGATGTCCAGGTGCCTGGAGGCCGTGCAGATCTGAATGGGGAGAAACAAGCTCAGACTCAACCCTTCCAAGACTGAGTGGCTGCGGTTTCCAGCATCCTGGTATAGCCAGCTGGCTCCATAGCTGACTATTGGGGGTGAGATCTTGGCCCCCTCAGAGAGGGCTCGCAACCTGGGTGTTCTCCTGGATGAACTGCTGTCTTTAGAAGATCATATGATGGCTGTGGCCAGGGGAGCTTTTTATCAGGTTCGCCTGATTCACCAGTTGTGTCCCTTTCTGGACTGGGACGCCTTGCGCTCGGTCACTCATGCCCTCGTCACGTCACGTCTGGACTATTGTAATGCTCTCTACATGGGGCTCCCCTTGAAGAGCATTCGGAGGCTCCAACTGGTCCAGAATGCGGCTGCACGGGTGATTATGGGGGTGACATGGCGCATCCATGTAACACCTCTCCTGCGCGAGCTGCACTGGCTCCCAGTGGTCTTCTGGGTGTAATTCAAGGTGTTGGTTACCACCTGTAAAGCGCTCCAGGGCTTAGGACCTGGGTATGTACGAGATCGCCTTCTGCCACCGATAGCCTCCCACCGGCCAACACGCTCCCACAGAGAGGGACTCCTCAGGGTGCCGTCGGCCAAACAATGTCGACTGGCGACACCCGGGGCGAGCCTTCTCTGTGGGGGCACCTACCCTCTGGAATGAACTGCCCCCAGAGATTCACATGATCCCCAACCTACGTACCTTTCACTGTGCCCTTAAGAGCCTTTTGTTTCAACAGGCCGGGCTGGCTTAGAAAATGAATTTTAACGGGGTGTTTGTAGTTTTTAATATAGGGCCATATTTTATTTTAATATATTTTAAATTGTTTTTAAATTTTATGGGTATATGTTTATTTTAATATGGCTGTACACCGCCCTGAGTCCTTCGGGAGAAGGGCGGTATACAAATTTAAATAAATAAATAAATAAATAATACTGTTGATGGTTGAGCCTAAAACGCAGAAGTTATCCACCCTAATGTTATCTTCACTTCCACTTCTAAGACTGCCTGTTCTACCTGTTGTCATTAATTGGCCTTCTTTATATTTAATTTTACTCCTATTTTTTCACAGAACTATTTGACTTTAAATATTAAGTCTTGCAGATCCTTTGCATCAGGATAGTGTTATCAGCATAGTGCAGATAATAGGTGCTTCTTCCTCTAGTTTTAAAAGTGTGATTACCTTTTTCTAATCCAGTTTCCCTTAATATATATATATATTATCCTGTAGGTTGAATAAATCAGGGGAGAGTATACAGTGTTGTTGCACTGCTTTGCCAACCTAGAGCCAGTCTGTTTCATTATACTGTGGTTTCCTAACCTTTATATAAATTTCTCATGAGGACCATGAGATATTTTGGGATTTGTATTATCTTGGGCACTTTGTGTTGACACGATCAACACAATAAAAAATCTTTCTATAATCAATGAAGTCCATTGTGATTTTTTAAAATTATTATTTTTTAGCTTTCTCAATTATCTAGCCTGCATCAGCAATAATGTCTTGTGTTCCTCAAGCTTTTTTAATGTCCACTTGAACATCTGGCATTTTTTTTCCCATATAGGTCTCTAATTCCTGTTGAATGACCCTAAGCATTATTTTCTAGCATGGGAATTTAAGAATATTATATGATAGTTTGCACATCCTGTTAGGCCTCCTTTTTTTTTGTTTTGGAATGTACTGTATATTGACCTCTTCCAATTAGTTGGCCACTGTTTATTTTCCAGACTTGCTAACATAGCTTTTCAGAACCGTAACAGATTCTTCTTCGGTTGCATAGCAAATTTCAATGGGTATTCATCAGTTCTTGTAGCCTTCTGATTAATGACTAAAAACCTATTCTAACTTCATTTTTTATATTAGATATTCTTGTAAGTAAAATATAGCCTCTAAGGCATCTTGAATGTTGACCTCTTAGTGTACAGTGTACAGTATATACCTCCTATCTTCCTTTGATCTCCAGTCTCTCCATTGGAAACCTTTGCATATGAATTTAAGGCTGGAACTTCCCTTCTGAGTTCAGAGATCTTTTAAAAGACTTGCTTGCTTTTCTATATCTATCTGCATCTTGAATGTCTTTACAGATGTTGTAATCTTATCTCTTCTAACAGAATTTATCTTTGGGGGGGGGGTTTGCTTTGTTTCCTTGCTTCCACTCCAACTATTGCTATATCCATGTTTAATGGCATTGTTTTGATTGTTTGATGACATTGTCTGCTATGAAACTTCATTGGAGTAGCACGAATTGATAAATTGGTTCCTGCTTCATTTTGATTTCCTAAGTCATACAGTTCAACTACATTTTCATATTTCCAGCTTTGTATTCCAATTTCCAATCATAAGCAGTAAATCTTACTTGCATACTGTCAGTTTTAAATTCTATCTAACCATAAAATTCATCAACCTCCTCTTATTCTGAATCAGTAGCTAGAGTATACACCAGAATGGCCGTCATATAAAGGATATTCATTATTTGTTGATTGTTTTGTAGCCAAATACTGCTCTTGCTACTTCCTTTCTAACTATAACAGCAACTTTGTTCCTTCCTTGTTTTTCATGTCCTGAAGAATAACATTCTGACTTTCTGACTGAAAATGTCTTGTGACCCTTCTCAGAATATACACTCTTGGCATTTATTCCTGATGCTCTCTGCTCATAAATACTTTTGGTTATGTTGGAAAAAGTTGCCTTATTGAACAAAATATTAGTATCTCAACTTTATTATTTTTACAAATAACTTTGTGGCACACATATCCAATACAACTTTCTTCTCCTATTTTCCCCACAACAACCCTGTGAGCTGAATTGGACTAACAGAGAGTGACTGGCTCAAAAGTTATCCAGTTGGCTTTCATGGCTATGGAGGGAATGAACTCATGGTTTCCTACTTTCTAGCCTGGTGCCTTAACCACTAGACCAAAGTGGCTCACTCTATCTGTCTGTCTGTCTGTCTGTCTGTTCAGCCAGCCAGCCAGCCAGCCATCTACCTGCCCACCCATTTATTTGTTAGATTTAGAAGGCTGCCTATCGTTTTGCAAAACTAAGAAAAGTTTATCATGATAATTACATTTTGACAGAAAGCCTATACGCCTATCTAGCTATAGCATATATATTTTAAAAAAGAAAGGCCATACAATGTGGTAGAATACATGTAGATTGAATGGTATCTGTACCATTATTAGTAGACGGAAAGAAAGGAACTGTTGGAATAAGGAACATGAGTCCTAAGTGATAAAAAAAATCTCTGTGAATAGCACTAAAAGGAATTTGAGGCAATTAGCTCATGTTCAACAGGAAATATAAAGAAGTCAAAAAGAGAATCTACATTAATCTATATTTTTATTGTCTTTAGAGACCAGTGGTTGAAAAAGTGCAATGAAACAATACACAGAGAAGCAGATCTTCCAACGTGATGTCATCTTTTCTTTGAACATGCCGTAAGGCATGTGCACATTTATTATTCATAATTGCATCTTATTTTCTCTTAAATAATTCAAAATGTCATTATTCAGTGATACCATAAAACAGTTTTAGCCTCTATTTGTCTATATTAACTAATATAATTGATTGCCCTATCATAGAACATTTGTAGCTAAGTGAAAGTTTTCGTTTCTGCCTTATATTTGTCTATATTCATTTCTTTGAAGTACAGTGAGGTAATCCTTAGTTTTCTATATTCTTTAGTAATTTTTAATTACAGATACATTTTACCATCTTAAACTAGGTATTGGGTTAAATCAAATATGTACACTTCTGAGTAGCCTATCCAGTGACTCATTTACTGTACATTAACCCCCCCTAGAAACCATGTCAAGATATAGATGTATTGCAGAATGTTAAAGAAAGAGTGGTTTTAATTATTTCAGATTTAACTCTCTTTGAAAACTGAATCAATCAACTATTCCTAAATATCTGGGTGGAATATGAAGGGCCTTGGTAGTACAGGGGTTAAAGGCACCCTGTTATTAAGCTGGTTATTAAGACCAGCTGCCTGCAATTACTGCAGGGTTCGAATCTCACCAAGGCTCAAGGTTGACTCAGCCTTCCATCCTTTCTAAGGTAGGTGAAATGAGGACCCAGTTTGTGGGGGCAATAAGCTGACTTTGTATAAATATACAAAAGGATGAAGGCTATTGCTGAGCACATTGTAAGCCGCCCTGAGTCTTCGGAGAAGGGCGGCATATAAATCAAATTAAAATATATATATATATGGTTCCTGGAGATGATGTCTGTCATTGCTATACTAAATGCATCTTTATATAGTACGCTTCATATGCTTATTTAACTTTTGCTTTATGTTTTAACTTTCAGTTTATTGGGTGAAAATAGACAAACTACATTAATATATGCTCTGATCCCAGATGGAGTTTATTTAAATTTCAGATTGAAAGCTTACTAAGAACAGATAAGATTGATTGCCCTTTCCATCTAACCATAATTGTATTTCAGGTGAACATCAATTTATTTTAAAGGACACCTCTAAGTAACAGAGTGCATCATGCATAATTCATCAATCACAGCTGTCTGTTATATGATTTACTTAAACACATTTCAAAGGGACAGAGTTGCATTGTTTTATTTTTGTTTGCTTTTTTGTTTTGCTTGGCTTGTTTACTTTTAAATTGTTTTAGAAACATTAATTTATTTGGAATTATTGCTGAAGTGTTTATCTTGACAGAGAAAAAAATAAATTATTCTCCATTCATAATTCTTACTTTTCAACAGGTGTGCCAGTTATGCTGGTTATTAATTTTCCAAACATAATTAATACAAATGAATCATATTAGTAAAAGTATAAATAAAGCATTAAGTACTATTGTATCAATTTTATGACACTTTCCAAAGTGTGAGTTCTGTATTGACTTTTTTTTTTTTTTAGAAGTTTTGGTTTTGGTTTTTTGCAGTACTGTATTCCATTTTTGCTTTATTTTGGAAAATAAAAATTCACATTCAATTGCTTCCACAATTTTTTTTTTAAAAATGTTTTTACTGTTAGATGTGTGAGTAACTACAGTTAGATTCACAGTGTAAGACTGAGGGGAACTTAATAATTCAAGCCCTAACAAGGACCTAAGAATTATTAAGGTAATGTCTAAGAATATAGATGTTATTATTATTTGCTTTACATTATTTTACAAAAATATACCTACATGCAGACTTCAGAGTCTGAAATTCACCAATCTGAATGCCTTGCATGGCCCAATAGAAATCACTTCAGATGAGAAAGTTAGTTTAAAATGTATTATTATTTATTCAGTTGTAGACCTAAAGCAAAAGTTCTAGGAATGCACAATATATTTTGCTTTACAACTGCTTACCAATTCTTTATTTTAAAAAACTTAAATGAAGTATATTATGATTTTTAAACTTAACATTTTACTTTCCCTATCAGGAAGATCTGAATTGGGGATACCCACTTTCCCAATAAGATGATGTCTGCACTACTTTCAACAGAAGTACCTTCTACTGATGGTGTTGGGAAAAAAATCCAAGTGTAATTAAATAGGTTAGGTCAGAAATCATAGGATCCTCCAACCTGATTACTGTCTTCACAGAATAGGAAAAACTAAACTATATTAAACCAGAATATATAATAAATTTTCTCACTATAGACAAAATAATAACCATAAAATCCAAAATGGGATATATATATAACACCCCTACCCCACCCCCACCAAAGTTCTCCTGGCTACAGAGAACTGGAAGAACTGTGGATGTAGTAGCTGTTCTCACAGAAAATCAATACACATCAAAACATCCACTTACTGAATAAGCAGGTACCTTTATCAAATTTGAATAATTCTAATATTTGGGTTAAGAATATACCAATCTATACCTTGCTTACCTACAGGTAATAACCTTAAATAAATATAAAAATGTAAAATAATCATTACTGTGCAATGTGAAACAAAACTGTAATTGTCTACATATCATCTACAACTTCTTATTACATCAGGCCAAATAATATATGGGTCTATACACAATCTATTTCCCTGAATTTATCTTTATTTTATTCTACATTATTTTCCAAACAGTAATGAGCCATTGTATTGCCATTTTAAAACAATTTTCTTAAAATTGGTACAAAACACAGAATGTTTTAAAGGACAAAAGATTCCACAGACATTCTCTAATGTTTTATCTATTTCTTTCTTTTCTTTTGTGCTTATGCTTTTTCTTCCTACTCTTGAAATAATATTCAGAATTAAACAATATAATTTGAATAATAATTTCTTTTTAATGGTAAACAAATTTTTGGAATCTCTTCAGTTATGCTAAAATCATATAGTTAATCTTTGCTTAATAATTTTATGTGAGACTGCAATTACTAATAGGAAATTCTGCATTTTTATATATGTTCTTCTGTTAAGATAGAAATGTCTCTGAACAAATCCTTTACATTTATCCATTCCCTTAAACTGACATTCTGTAAAAATGCTAATGTAAATTAAATACTCATACAAATTAGATGCCACAAAATGTGCTTAAAAGATGGAAAAAACATGGTTTGAAGCTTGGAAAATTACATATAAACCTTCATTTTCTACATTAATACAACATTTATGTATCACAACTTTGTTTTTTCCCCATTAATCAAGTCTTTAAAATTGACAGAAATACAGACAATAAAAACACATTGGCATAAATGCAAAGATAAGCAAGTAAGGAATGAAAAATAAATGTTTCTACATACTTGTAGGCCCATCTGAAATACTGAGTGACCCATAAAATTAGCCAGCATTCGAATTAAAGCTGCACCCTGCAAACACAAATTTTTATAAAATTGAGTTGTTATCCAAGCAGTTCAATGGTAATACATGAAATTTACAATTATCCCAGTATTTATTTCAGAATAATTATAGCATTATTATTAATTACACTTAGAATTATCTCCCAAAAGTTTTTGATTTAAACATTTTAGAAGCTACATGATTCATTATAAGCTTTGTTGGAGAAAAAAACAGAAACAAAAATGAAGTTAGAAACATACAGAAAGGGGGTTATTTTCAAACAGAGCTACTAAACTTATACCTCACTGATATGAGTGCAACAACATGAAACAGAGTATTATAAAAGCACAATATATCTCTTTCCACTACTGATTGTTCACAAGCATATCTTTGAATGAAATAATTTAAGTATAACACATTGAAATTTAATGCATAAGAAAGGCAACTAGTTCTACAAGTGTAGTCAGTATAAATGAAATACTATTGACTAGCCATTCAGATTTAAAACACCATTAGCCCAGGTTTTTTTTTTATGGTTGAACAAGAAGCACCTAGAAATTTAATTTTAGACATTCAGATATGTGTTTGGCAAAACATATGTCTTCTTTTAGTACATCCTCAAGATTACCAGTGATTCTAATTTAACAGGACACATACATACCTATAGCTTAGTTGGAGTTATGGTTAAAGATATGGGTGAATAACCTTTTGCTCTGGGTAGAATGAACTTTCAAAATGGGTGAAGCAATTTCAGGTAAGGTCTGTGTCAAGTCATTTTCTCTGGATTTTAAGATAAAATTCTTAAACAAAAAAACATGCTAAGTCTATTTTATGGCTTATATTACAGTTTTCATGTTTTTGCACTATAACATTTTATCATGTTGATAAATACTGCATTTGGCATTTACTCTTCATATTTAATAGGTACCTATAAATGTCAATATACATCCAAGGCTGCAATTCTAAGATCAGTATTTAAAGAGGACTATAGTAAGAATTTTATTGAAACTTCAGAACATATCAATGCAATTTACAATATGCTTAGGTAACCAGGAATAATCAAAATGTTTTGGATTATTGTACCTATATTACGTAATTTTATTCTAGAGGACATTTGCTAGCCTCCATGCTGTCATTTTAATTGACATGTTTACACATCCTGGACATAAATTGTTTCAACTCCTACCCTCAAAACGACACTATAGAGCACTGCAAACCAGAACAACTAGACACGAGAACAATTTTTTCCTGAATGCCATCACTCTGCTTAACAAATAATTCCCTCAACACTGTCAAACTATTCACTGTCTGCAGTACTATTACTATTAATCTTCTCTTCATTCCTATCACCCATCTCCTCCCACTTATGACTGTATGACTGTAACTTGTTGCTGATTTATATTGTTTCCTAGTATGATTTGACTGTAACTTGATTTATATTGTTTCCTAGTATGATTTGATTGCTTATTTGTACCCTATGACTATCATTAAGTGTTGTACCTTATGGTTCTTAATGAATGTATCTTTTCTTTTATGTACACTGAGAGCATATGCATCAAAGACAAATTCCTTACGTGTCCAATCACACTTGGCCAATGTTTTAAAGGCCCAATGGGTCTCAGATGACTAGGCTATCCCTTAAGATTGACTTGCAACATGCAATAGAGACAGTGGTGGGATTCAGCCAGTTCGCACCACTTCGGGAGAACCGGTTGTTAACTTTCTGAGCAGTTTGGTGAACTGGTTGTTTGAAGAAATTATTAGGGCAGAGAACCAGTTGTTTAATTATTTGAATCCCACCATTGAATAGAGATCATAGTATATGGACCCTTCCAATGATGATGATGGCATATAGTAGATTCTAGGTCAGAATGAGAGAGACTCAAGTAAGAAAGAATACAAAGTAATGAATGAAATGAATATGTGTATGTAAAAATATGAGGGGGGAAGGATATATCAGATCTGGAGAAGACTGGTCTCGTCTTGTGCAGTAATATTGATTAACACTTACAGAGAATTGAATATTTAGGCTTAATTGTTTAATTAAAGAGCTCAAAAACTATAAATTGGTGTCATCTAAATTATTAGGAGCTCATTTGACAGTAGGAATTCATAGGGTGTGATAGTGCCACAATTTTAACTGAAAGTATACAAGAGGTTATAAAAACCAAAATCTGAAAAATACAATGCGGTATTATGCTGGGGATGAAATACACAGGCCCCTTCTCTTTAGTTATGATAAATATTTCAGCCATGTTTTCTTTTCTTTTTTTCTTGCACCTTTAATTTATTTATCTTACTATTTCCTACTCCTCTTCTGCAGTCTGTATTTCAATGCTTTACTCCCAAAGGGAATAGCATAATGAATGCTTTTATATATCAAACATGTTGAAATTCTGAAGATTTTTTCCATATCAAACCAACTAAGTTTACAAACTTAATATCCTATAAATATCCAATATGTTTTATCACATTAAAATAATATCTGCCTTATTTCATGTCACAAAGCATCCCCAAGTCCTGAAGATGGGTTGGATTTGTAATTACTAATATTCTCTGCCATAAAGTTTGGTGAAGTCCCAATAGACACTACCATTCTATGGATCACAGGATAATACAGCTTGGAGCTGCTGAGCCATAGATACAGTTTATGTATAAGTATAGTTTTCTCTTTCTTACTCTAATCAAGCATTCTCTTACAGTTCTTATTTTTCAAACTAGAGTAAAGCAACACCAAAAAATTATTTGTGTCTATTCTTTCATTTGTACTACAATTGTGTAAATAAACTGTTAAATAAAATTGTATAATTTTATAGTTTGGAATAAAAATAATTTAATTATTGGAAACTCACACTGCCCTATGTTTGAAACCCATTTTTTAAAAGGGACAATACTTGCAAAAGACACATACAAGAACCTTTATATTATGTTTGCCCTTCAAATAACAAGCAACCAGCAACAAACAATACTCAAAACTGTTTTATAAAGTAATCATTTTGTTGACATAGGCAGACACAGCTGGATGCCAATATGAAATTTAGCTTATTAGGAAATTCACAGCATGAATTAACATAGAGAACAAACTATATCAAGCTTGGATCATAAAATGACACTTAAAATACTCTCATAAAATGAGGAAAATAAATTTGAAGTGCTCTTGTGAATTGCCTTAAAATGTATTTTGGCTTATTTTAATTTTAAACAAATACACCATGAAGGTTCAATAGTGTCAATGTGAATTCCATGTAATATGTTTGAGTTTTGATATTTAAAGTGATAGCAGTTTGAAGCTACAATACTAAATATAATATTTCTTACTGAAGTGTGGACTTCAACTCCCAGAATTCCCAAGTTAGCATCCACATATATTAAAGTTGCTGAGGTTGAGAAACATTGCACTAAAGCAAACTCCCATAAACTAGTGTTCTCTAGAAGTGCTAGACTGCCTGCTAGGATTCTTAGCCAGTATGAACACTAACCATAATAAAAAGAATCTCTGAGAATTATAGTCCCAGTTTATCTCAGAGAGTAATTAGGAAAAATAATTAGGAAAAGACAGAAAGCCCTGTAAGTTTCCAATAGAACTTGTATAGATACAAATTAGCAGGGAAAATGATATTAGGAGCACGTGCTGATATTCATGCAGCACATTACAAACATCTCAAAGTAGCAATATCTTTTCCTGGCTTGTGCAATTATTAGGAAATGGTTTTATAATGCCTCTGAAAACTGTTTTTGCCTTTTTGATTCTAATCTTTGCACAGCCCCAGTATCCAACTAAAATAGTATGACTGAAGGAAAAAAAAAAACCCTAGGCTTTACCTATTAGTTTTGTGACTTAGCAAGCAGATAGTTTTTCTTTTAAAGCAGTACTTTATTTTTACTCCCCTCTGTCTACATTAGGTTTTTAACAAATGGAAATTTGGGCAAGCACTGAAAACAAAAAAGGGGAGAGCATCTCAAGTGCCAGTAGAATAGTTCATTACATAGAAATATAATAGCTTTTTGTAAGATTCCTTTATCAAAAGCACTGTGCTTATTAGCTAAAATATTTTAGTTCAAAGTCTATACAGTATTTTCCTACTGGCACTTAGTGTATATTAGTTCTTTAATAATCATACTTTATTGTAACCCTGGAGTTGAGTTGCAAAGTCATTGATTTGATCTCTTATCTTGCCTTAGCCACATGCTAAAGATTTTAAGGAGTTTAAAAGAAGACAGTAAAAAATTATTCCTTAGGCACATGCCATAAATCTGAATTTCTCATATGTCAAAATGAAGTTTAAGCATAAGCCAGGAATGAAGAATTTGAAGAATATCATGCAGCCTCTTCAAACTCTGGGGAGAATGGAAATGCTCGTCAATACCGTCTCCAAATCTGAAGTAGGCATTTACAAAGATAACTGAGTTTGTGGTCTTCCAGCTATGCTTATGGCTAATAAAAAGGCTCATATCCTCACAATAGAGTACACTGATGAATTTATTATTACAGTAAATAAAATGTTTGCATGGTTTTCCTGAAATGTATACTTACGACACTAGGAACTCTGCCAATATTTCACAAAATGATAGAAGCTTCCTTTGCTGGAATAGTTAAAGAGAATGGTTTGTGATTTATCTGAGAAAATGTTGAGAAATCCATCATATAGAGAATGAAAAAAATGTAACTTTGCCTCCTGGTACAGTTTACAGTACTAAACAATTTTTCTCTGGGATAGATGTTGACATGCTAAAGAGAGAATAAATCTTTGAGAAATGATCAGATGAGGAAACTTCATGAATACAGTCTGACAGTATATCTGGAGGAAACAAGTCCATATTTTATATGTATATATCATGCTTGTAAAAGAAACTCCTCTAGGACAGTACAATTATTAAAGATACAAGCAATGAATTCAGCAATATATATTTTTGTAAGGCCTTAGGCAATCCAAAATTTCATAGTTCTCAGTTGTAATATGGAGTTACTTAAGTGGACCATATCAGGAAAATATATCTTTTAAACTTACCGACAGTACAGTCTACATAG